TACCACCACTAAAGGCAGACCCTCACCAGGCAAATCAAAACAAAGACAAAAGAAAACCTAACCTAACCTAACCACCCCAGTTGAACCCCAAGGGCGGGCAATCACCGAGCAGCGACAGAACCACACGGAGGTAGCTGCTCCTGAATGGCTCATGGAAGATAACCCTAAGCTGCAAAGGCAGTACTTACGGGGCACCTAAGGAAGGTAGCCCTAGGTGCATGCAGCCCCAGTACTCTTGTGTTACTCCTGGCTCACACACAACCAACACAGAGCAATAACACCACACTGCAGCACTGCGCAAAGAGTGGAGCCAGAGCGATCAACCGTCACCAAACAACAGCCTCTTGAACTGAGGAGAGTTGCCGGCGTGGAGGTCTGGACCCCCCCCCCCGTCCATGGGGGGAAGTGGGTTGCGCAGACGGATGCATGGCAGTTGTGGTGACGTCATGTTTGTTACCGTGTTTTTGATTGGAGAGTCCTGTTTGCTAGTTCGGCTTTCGGTTCGCAATTTTTTGACTGGCAGTAGTATGTTTTGGAATTCCTACCTTTCTAGGTGCCTGACCTGGTAGGTGGCAAACAAAGGCTGCTTCCACTTACACTGGGGGTGTCTTTAGGCCATTGCTCCTCGTGCCTCTCTTGAGGGTGACAGGTTCTGGCTCTGGTCCCCCAGTAGGTCTAGAACTCCTTAAATTGACTGTTGCCACAGTCTAATATGCAGTACACACATCAGCCTGGTATGGCTCCAGGAAGCTATAGGGGCTCTCCACAGAAGATGATGTGGTATGATCACCACTTATAAAATACTAACAGGAATTGACCAAATTGACAAAGCGGAATTCCTGAAACCAGCAACTTCACAACAAGAGACACAGTACACACACACAGGACACAGATTCAAGCTAAGGAAACAAATGTGCCAAAAAATATTACAGTTTTCTTTTGCAAACAGTGGCAGACAGAATGAGTTAAGTGAGAAGGTGGAGGAGGCCAAAACTGCCAGTAGTTTCAAAGCGTTATATGACAAAGAGCACTTCGAAGATGGGACACCACGAGATCATACTATAACTACACTTAGGTAATTACACACCAACTATATTAGCAGTGCTAGCAGGTAGTAGGCAATACACATTCACTATACTAGCATAACTAGCAGCTAGTAGACAACACACATCCACTATATTACCATAAGTACACATGAATAAGGTAACTGCAGAAGGCCTATTGCCCATACGGGGCAGTCCCTATTTATAACCACCTAATCTCATTCATATATATGTCTAATCTACGTTTGAAACAATCAAGGGATCATACTTCTATTACGTTATGCAGTAATTGGTTCCACAAATCAACAACCCTGGTTCAAGCAGCCGGTACTTACCAACCCTGATAAATAGTGGTTCAGTAACTAGTGTTACCGAATCAGTATTTACCAAGGTTTTTCCAAAATATAAACTTATCCAATTTATACCCCTTGTTTTGTGTTCTGTCTTGTGTTGATACTTTTATTACCCGATTAATATCCCCCTTTGTTATGTCCATTCATCCACTTGTACACCTCTATCATGTCACCCCTAATTCTTCACCTTTCTAGAGAATGTAATTTAAGCTTTGTTAATCTTTCTTCACATGACAGGCTTCTAATTTGGGGGATTAGCTTTGTCATCCTAAGCTGGACGCGTTCAAGTGAATTTATATCCATTCTATAGTACGGCGACCAAAATAACTGAATAATCTAAATGGGGCCTAACCAGAGCAAGATATTGCTGAAGAACAACACCAGGTGTCTTATTACTAACGCTTCGATTAATAAATCGAAATGTCCTATTTGCCTTATTATGAACATTTATGCATTGATTTTTTGGTTTTAAATTCTTACTAATCATAACTCCCAGATCTCCTTCACAATCCAACTTCACAATCTCAACACCATCTAGCTCATATCTTGCAACTTTTATCATCATTACCTAGCCTCAAAACCTTACATTTGTCAGCATTAAACTGCATCTACCAATCTTTTGACCATTTCAAAACCTTATTTAGATCATTTTGAAGTGATAGCGAGTCTTTTTCCTGTGTTTATTACCCTCCCAATTTTTGTGTCATCGACAAATTTGCAATTATTGCTGCTAGAACCTGAATCTAAATCATTTATATATTATGAATAACAGAGGTCCCAGGACAGAGCCTTGAGGCACTCCACTTACAACATTTTCCCACTCTGACTTAACCCCATTTATACTAACTGTTTCCTTTGGTATAGTCATGCCCTAATCCAACTCAAGTTAGCACCCCCAATACTGTGAGCCTCTCTTTTGAATCAATCTTTCATGTGGCACAGTATCAGAAGCAGTACTAGCAGCAAGTAGACAATTTACAAATCCACTATACTAGCAGCTAGTAGACAACACACATCCACTATATTAGCAGTACTAGCAACTAGTAGACAACACATATCCATTATATTAGCAGTACTAGCAGCTAGTAGACAACACACATCCACTATATTAGCAGTACTAGCAGCTAGTAGACAACACATATCCACTATATTAGCAGTGCTAGCAGCTAGTAGACAACACATATCCACTATATTAGCAGTGCTAGCAGCTAGTAGACAACACACATCCACTATATTAGCAGTACTAGCAGCTAGTAGACAACACATATCCACTATATTAGCAGTGCTAGCAGCTAGTAGACAACACACATCCACTATATTAGCAGTACTAGCAGCTAGTAGACAACACATATCCATTATATTAGCAGTACTAGCAGCTAGTAGACAACACATATCCACTATATTAGCAGTACTGTTGTCTACTAGCAGCTAGTAGACAACACACGTCCACTATATTAGCAGTACTAGCAGCAAGTACACAATTTACAAATCCACTATACTAGCAGCTAGTAGACAACACACATCCACTATATTAGCAGTACTAGCAACTAGTAGACAACACATATCCATTATATTAGCAGTACTAGCAGCTAGTAGACAACACATATCCACTATATTAGCAGTACTAGCAGCTAGTAGACAACACATATCCATTATATTAGCAGTACTAGCAGCTAGTAGACAACACATATCCACTATATTAGCAGTACTGTTGTCTACTAGCAGCTAGTAGACAACACACGTCCACTATATTAGCAGTACTAGCAGCTAGTAGACAACACATATCCACTATATTAGCAGTACTAGCAGCTAGTAGACAACACATATCCACTATATTAGCAGTACTAGCAGCTAGTAGACAACACACATCCACTATATTAGCAGTACTAGCAGCTAGTAGACAACACACATCCACTATATTAGCAGTACTAGCAGCTAGTAGACAACACACGTCCACTATATTAGCAGTACTAGCAGCTAGTAGACAACACACGTCCACTATATTAGCAGTACTAGCAGCTAGTAGACAACACATATCCACTATATTAGCAGTACTAGCAGCTAGTAGACAACACATATCCACTATATTAGCAGTACTGTTGTCTACTAGCAGCTAGTAGACAACATACCCATTATATTAACAGTACTAGCAGCTAGTAGACAACACACGTCCACTATATTAGCAGTACTAGCAGCTAGTAGACAACACACATCCACTATATTAGCAGTACTAGCAGCTAGTAGACAACACACGTCCACTATATTAGCAGTACTAGCAGCTAGTAGACAACACACGTCCACTATATTAGCAGTACTAGCAGCTAGTAGACAACACACGTCCACTATATTAGCAGTACTAGCAGCTAGTAGACAACACATATCCACTATATTAGCAGTACTAGCAGCTAGTAGACAACACATATCCACTATATTAGCAGTACTAGCAGCTAGTAGACAACACACATCCACTATATTAGCAGTACTAGCAGCTAGTAGACAACACACATCCACTATATTAGCAGTACTAGCAGCTAGTAGACAACACACATCCACTATATTAGCAGTACTAGCAGCTAGTAGACAACACACATCCACTATATTAGCAGTACTAGCAGCTAGTAGACAACACATATCCACTATATTAGCAGTACTAGCAGCTAGTAGACAACACACGTCCACTATATTAGCAGTACTAGCAGCTAGTAGACAACACACGTCCACTATATTAGCAGTACTAGCAGCTAGTAGACAACACATATCCACTATATTAGCAGTACTAGCAGCTAGTAGACAACACACATCCACTATATTAGCAGTACTAGCAGCTAGTAGACAACACACATCCACTATATTAGCAGTACTAGCAGCTAGTAGACAACACATATCCACTATATTAGCAGTACTAGCAGCTAGTAGACAACACACATCCACTATATTAGCAGTACTAGCAGCTAGTAGACAACACACATCCACTATATTAGCAGTACTAGCAGCTAGTAGACAACACACATCCACTATATTAGCAGTACTAGCAGCTAGTAGACAACATACCCATTATATTAACAGTACTTGTAGCTAGTAGACAACACACGTCCACTATATTAGCAGTACTAGCAGCTAGTAGACAACACACGTCCACTATATTAGCAGTACTAGCAGCTAGTAGACAACATACCCATTATATTAACAGTACTTGTAGCTAGTAGACAACACACGTCCACTATATTAGCAGTACTAGCAGCTAGTAGACAACACACGTCCACTATATTAGCAGTACTAGCAGCTAGTAGACAACACACGTCCACTATATTAGCAGTACTAGCAGCTAGTAGACAACACATATCCACTATATTAGCAGTACTAGCAGCTAGTAGACAACACATATCCACTATATTAGCAGTACTAGCAGCTAGTAGACAACACATATCCACTATATTAGCAGTACTGTTGTCTACTAGCAGCTAGTAGACAACACACGTCCACTATATTAGCAGTACTAGCAGCTAGTAGACAACACATATCCACTATATTAGCAGTACTATCAGCAAGTAGACAAGTAGGTAGCAGTACTAGTACATACACTACTCTTCCTCACCAACTATACCTGGATAGTGCCAAAGCTATCAATGCGCTGACCAAACTGCATTCGAGTGGTGGCAAAATCAATTGCCTTCTTGGTAGAGTAACGCAACGTGCCCGTCATTGCTGCCGCCATACCAAACCGTCCATTATTCAGTATCTGCATTGCAACCTACAAAAAATATATATATTGTTATTCATGAGTACTATAAACCCACCATTGAATGTAATGAAACAGATTCCCTGAAGTTATCCAGACTGGTATGTGCTATATTAGTTTGGGGACATCAGTTACAAGAGTTTTGCCTACAGGGGACCACGAGCCAGAACCTGGCCCCTCCCTCAGTGAAGCGCACGGAGCAATGGCCATACTCTTCTACATTTAGAGTACTGTATGTCATTTCTGTCTTCAACAAGGAAATACCCCCTAAAAAGGTAGGCATAACAATACAAACCTCCAACTGGTGAAAATTGAGACCTACATCTGAACAGAGCCAAAGAGCTTCCCCCCAACCCCCCCCCCCCCAAAAAAAAAAGAAATAAGCAAATCATCATCCAACTAGAATGCCCACTCATTAGCACCCCCATCCCTTTCCACCTACAGAGGGAAGAGGGAGCCCGTTCAGGTGAGCCGGCAGCTACATACATCAGTTCGCAGAATGATGAAAACTGTTGAACAGAGAGAGGGAGGGTATCGGGGAGCCTCTGAGGCTCACCCAGAAAATAGTATTTCATTACATTCAATGCTGGACTTTTGTAGGGAGCCCTGTTGGCTCTCTGAAGCTAACTACCCAACAGAGAAGTAAAACAAGGACTTACCTGGAAGGAGGCGGCAGCACTGCATGTCTCAAGACAAAGAAGTGACTACTGGCTGCGGATGAGCCACAGCCGCAAATGAGCCACAGAGATATTAGAAAGAACTTTTTTAGTGTCAGAGTGGTTGACAAATGGAATGCATTAGGAAGTGATGTGGTGGAGGTTGACTCCATGCACAGTTTCAAGTGTAGATATGATAGAGCCCAATAGGCTCAGGAACCTGTACACCTGTTGATTGATGGTTGAGAGGCGGGACCAAAGATCCAGAGCTCAACCCCCGCAAGCACAATTAGGCGAGTATAATTAGGTGATTAGGCGAGTACACACGGAGGGGTGACAGGTAAGCTTCTAACATGGATGAAAAATTTTCTGACAGAAAAAAATGAGGGCAGTAATCAGAGGCAATGTATCGGACTGGAGAAATGTCACAAGTGGAGTACCACAGGGTTCAGTTCTTGCACCAGCGATATTTATTGTCTACATAAATGATCTACCAGTTGGTATACAGAATTATATGAACATGTTTGCTGATGATGCTAAGATAATAGGAAGGATAAGAAATTTAGATGATTGTCATGCCCTTCAAGATGACTTGGACAAAATAAGTATATGGAGCACCACTTGTCAAATGGAATTTAATGTTAATAAATGCCATGTTATGGATTGTGGAATAGGAGAACACAGACCCCACACAACCTATATATAATGTGAGAAAGCTTTAAAGAATTCTGATAAAGAAAGAGATCTAGGGGTGGTTCTAGATAGAAAACTATCACCTGAGGACCACATAAAGAATATTGTGCGAGGAGCCTATGCCACGCTTTCTAACTTCAGAATTGCTTTTAAATGCATGGATGGCAATATACTAAAGAAATTGTTCATGACTTTTGTTAGGCCAAAGATAGAATATGCAGCTGTTGTGTGGTGCCCATATCTGAAGAAGCACATCAACAAACTGGAAAAGGTGCAAAGACATGCTACTAAGTGGCTCTCAGAACTGAAGGGCAAGTGCTACGAGGAGAGGTTAGAGGCATTAAATATGCCAAAACTTGAAGACAGAAGAAAAAGAGGTGATATGATCACTACATACAAAATAGTAACAGGAATTGATAAAATTAATTGGGAAGATTTCCTGAGACCTGGAACTTCAAGAACAAGAGGTCATAGATTTAAACTAGCTAAACACAGATGCCGAATATAAGAAAATTCACTTTCGCAAACAGTGGTAGACGGTTCGAACAAGTTAGGTGAGGTGGTGGTGGAGGCCAAGACCGTCAGTAGTTTCAAAGCGTTATATGACAAAGTATACACACACATGGTATATACAATAGTATATACACACACATGGTATATACAATAGTATATACACACACATGGTATATACAATAGTATATACACACACATGGTATATACAATAGTATATACACACACATGGTATATACAATAGTATATACCAACATAGATGGAGTGAAATTGAAAATATTGGAGTTGAAGAATTAATTAAACTCAAAGTCCCAGATATTGTTGCATTAACAGACGAAACTTGAAGAAAATATTTTAAATGAAGTCGTATTCCCAAGGGGCTACTCAGTTTGGAGACCTGACAGGAAAACTAGGAAGGGAGGAGGAGTGATTGTGCTGGTGAAAGAACACCGGAAGGTAAAAAGTTAATAATTGAAAACCCTCGAGATATTGACATAATGGCACTTCAGATCTGGAATCAAGATGATAAGCTGATAATTTTAAATGCCTACAGCCTACCAAGCAACTCGCGGACAAAGGAAGAACTGGATGACAAACGAGAGGGCCTCAAAATGGTCATGAGAGAGATTATGGTAAGAGCTGACAGAGATAAATCCCAATTGTTGGTACTGGAGGACTTCAACTTTAAGGCAATAGACTGGGAGGCCTACAAGCCAAGAATGGAGGACATTTGGACAGGCAGATTTGTAAACCTCATCTTGGAGACATTCATGTATCAACACGTCAAGCAGGCCACAAGAATGAGGGAAGGAGATGTTCTGGCAATACGGGATCTAATATTCACCAGAAAAGAAGAGCAGGTATTTGACATCCAGTACCTCCCTCCCTTGGGAAAGAGTGATTACGTCCTCTTGGACATTAAATACGCTTTGCGATATAATCTAGTACAGAATGGGGACATTGAAACAGTTGTTAAACTCGATTTCAATAGAGGACACTATGGGGAAATTAGAAATTTTTTTCATGGGTATAATTGGACAGACTTTTTGCTAGGTAAGGAATTAAATGAGATGTATGCCATATTTTGCAAAATATACGATGAAGGCACACAAACATTCATACCAAAACAGAGATGCAGACCTAGGAAACAGGATTGGTTCAACAGAAATTGTAAGAGGGCCAGAGATCAAAAGACACAAACATGGAATCATTATAGGAAGAGGCCAAACCCCAAACACATCAGCGATACAAAGATGCAAGAAAACACTACACGTCAGTAAGGAGAGAGGCAGAGAGGAACTTTGAGAACGGCATAGCAGACAAATGTAAATCAGATCCAGTCCTTTTCTATAAATTCATTAAAAGCAAGCTGCAGGTAAAGAATAATATTCAGAGGTTGAAAATGGGGGACAGATAGATGGAAAATGAAAAGGAAATGTATGAAACATTAAACGAAAAGTTCCAAAGTGTGTTTGTACAAAATGAGGTCTTCAGGGAACCAGACGCAATAAGAATTCCTGAGAACAACATAGAGCACATAGAGGTGTCTAGAGACGAAGTGAAACAAATGCTCTTGGAGCTAAGTAAGAACGAAGCAGTTGGCCCAGATGGAGTTTCACCATGGGTTCTGTGAGAATGTGCAGTTGAGCTCAGCATACCACTTCACCTGATTTTTCAAACATCCCTGTGTACTGGAGTCATAGCAAATGTGTGGAAAAAGGCTAACATTTCCAATTTACAAAAAAAACAAAAAGGTTCCAATTTACAAAAGTAGCAGCAGGGAAGACCCCCTCAGTTATAGACCTGTATCACTGACAAGTGTAATAGTCAAAATATTGGAAAAAATAATAACTAAATGAGCTGAACACCTGGAGAGAAATAATATAATATCAGACAGACTGTATGGTTTTCGATCTGGAAAATCCTGTGTATCGAATTTAGTCAGTTTCTACGATAGAGCCACAGAGATGTTACAGGAAAGAGATGGATGGGTTGACTGCATCTATATGGACCTAAAAAAACACTTTTGACAAAGTTCCACATAAGAGATTGTTCTGGAAACTGGAAAATATTGGAAGGGTGACAGGTAGACTTCTAACATGGATGAAAAATTTTCTGACAGAAAAAATGAGGGCAGTAATCAGAGGCAATGTATCGGACTGGAGAAATGTCACAAGTGGAGTACCACAGGGTTCAGTTCTTGCACCGGTGAAGTTCATTGTCTACATAAATGATCTACCTGTTGGAATACAGAATTATATGAACATGTTTGCTGATGATGCTAAGATAATAGGAAGGATAAGAAATTTAGATGATTGTCATGCCCTTCAAGAAGACCTGGACAAAAAAAGTACATGGAGCACCACTTGGCAAATGGAATTTAATGTGAATAAATGCCATGTTATGGAATGTGGAATAGGAGAAAATAGACGCCACACAACCTATAATTTATGTGAGAAATCCTTAAAGAATTCTGATAGAGAAAGAGTTCTAGGGGTGGTTCTAGATAGAAAACTATCTCCTGAGGACCACATAAAGAACGTTGTGTAAGGCTTTCTAACTTCAGAATTGCTTTTAAATACATGGATGGTGAAATACTAAAGAAATTGTTCACGACTTTTGTTAGGCCAAAGCTAGAATATGCAGCGGTTGTGCAGTGCCCATATCTTAAGAAGCACATCAACAAACTGGAAAAGGTGTATGCTTGATACCTGCTTGATGGGGTTCTGGGAGTCGTTCTACTCCCCAAGCCCGGCCCGAGGCCAGGCTCGACTTGTGAGTGTTTGGTCCACCAGGCTGTTGCTTGGAGCGGCCCACAGGCCCACACACCCATTACAGTCCAGCTGATCTGGAACTTCTCTTAGAAAACAGTCCAGTTTACTCTTGAAGATGCCCACAGTTGTTCCGGCAATATTTCTTATAGTCGCTGGGAGGACGTTGAACAACAACGGACCTCTGATGTTTATACAGTGTTCTCTGATTGTGCCAATAGTACCTCTGCTCTTCACTGGTTCAATCTTGCATTTTCTTCCATATCGTTCACTCCAGTACGTTGTTATTTTACTGTGTAGATTTGGGACCTGGCCCTCCAGTATTTTCCTTGTGTATATTATTTAGTATCTCTCTCGTCTCCTTTCTAGAGAGTACATTTGG